GATCTAGAGGTGTACCTACTGACATTATATAGTGTAATAGATCTAGAGGTGTACCTACTGACAGTATACAGTATATAAGATCTAGAGGTGTACCTACTGATATCAGACACTATATTAGATCTAGAGATGAACCTACTAATATCAGCCACTGTATTAGATCTAGAGGTGTACCTACTGATATCAGACACTGTATTAGATCTAGAGGTGTACCTACTGATATTATACACTGTATTAGATCTAGAGGTCTACCTACTGACATTATATAGTATATAATATCTAGAGGTGTACCTACTGACATTATATAGTATATTAGATCTAGAGGTGTACCTACTGATATCAGACACTATATTAGATCTAGAGATGAACCTACTAATATCAGCCACTGTATTAGATCTAGAGGTGTACCTACTGACATTATACAGTATAATAGATATAGAGGTGTACCTACTGACAGTATAGAGTATATTAGATCTAGAGGTGTACCTATTGACATTATACAGTTTAATAGATCTAGAGGTGTACCTACTGACATTATACAGTATAATAGATATAGAGGTGTACCTACTGACAGTATAGAGTATATTAGATCTAGAGGTGTACCTATTGACATTATACAGTTTAATAGATCTAGAGGTGTACCTACTGACATTATACAGTATATTAGATATAGAGGTGTACCTACTGACATTAGACAGTATAATAGATCTAGAGATGTACCTACTGACATTAGACAGTATAATAGATCTAGAGATGTACCTACTGACATTATACAGTATAACAGATCTAGAGGTGTACCTACTGACATTATACAGTATATTAGATATAGAGGTGTACCTACTGATATCAGCCACTGGATAAGATCTAGAGGTGTACCTACTGACATTAAATAGTAGAGGTGTACCTACTGATATCAGACACTGTATTAGATCTAGAGGTGTACCTACTGATATCAGCCACTGTATAAGATCTAGAGGTGTACCTACTGACATTAAATAGTATAATAGATCTAGAGGTGTACCTACTGACATTAAACAGTATATTAGATCTAGATGTGTACCTACTGATATCAGCCACTGTATAAGATCTAGAGGTGTACCTACTGACATTAGACAGTATAATAGATCTAGAGATGTACCTACTGACATTATACAGTATAATAGATCTAGAGATGTACCTACTGACATTAAATAGTATATTAGATCTAGAGGTGTACCAACTGACATTATACAGTATAATAGATCAAGAAGTGTACCTACTGACATTATACAGTATATTAAATCTAGAGGTGTACCTACTGATATCAGCCACTGTATTGGATCTAGAGGTGTACCTACTGATATAAGACACTGTATTAGATCTAGAGATGTACCTACTGACATTATACAGTATATTAGATCTAGAGATGTACCTACTGACATTATACAGTATATTAGACCCAGAGGTGTACCTACTGATATCAGACACTATATTAGATCTAGAGATGAACCTACTAATATCAGCCACTGTATTAGATCTAGAGGTGTACCTATTGACATTATACAGTTTAATAGATCTAGAGGTGTACCTACTGACATTATACAGTATAATAGATCTAGAGATGTACCTACTGATATCAGCCACTGTATAAGATCTAGAGGTGTACCTACTGACATTATACAGTATATTAGATCCAGAGGTGTACCTACTGATATCAGACACTGTATTAGATCTAGAGATGTACCTACTGATATCAGACACTGTATTAGATCTAGAGGTGCACCTACTGATATCAGACACTGTATTAGATATAGAGGTGTACCTACTGATATAAGACACTGTATTAGATATAGAAGTGTACCTACTGACGTTAAATAGTATAATAGATCTAGAGGTGTACCTAGTTTGTAGAATATGCTAGTTATATATTTGGATGTTTGTTTCCGTTACTGTACGAGGGGAGGTAAATCTTACAAATTTAATGAAAAAAACGGCAATATCCATACATCAGATACCGATAATCAACAAGTTATACATAAATCCTCTAAATACAACTTTTATCCAAAATTTATTAATTCACATTTTATTGTAGTAACATGTTTAGTAAAAATTTGATACTCTTTCTAGATGTTCTTCTTTTTTCAAAAAGTTCAACGAGTGATTTGACTGAGTCTGTAAATGTATGAGACAAAAGTAATTTTTCACCGATTTCCACTTCCACATTTTTTCTAATGTTATTTGTTCATTCGTTTTAAACAGATGGAGAGTTTTTTTTAGTACGGATACCCCGAAGGGTTGGCGGTTACGCTCAACTTACTGCCCGTCAATGGATGGCTAACAGTCTATTTTCTTTCCGTTTGCCTAACAGCCAGCATGAAGGGCGATCGCAGCTTCTGCTAGTCTGCGCACCGCCGTCTTACCTGTCTTTTCTTTTACATCCAACCTCCACAGGCCGCCCTCGCTCCCTACACTATTCCATGATCTCTGCATATTTGGTTTTCTTTCAATGGTCACCCCTGCAGGTGGGGCATCGGGAAAAGAATACACCTGCTGTTACCCACTGCATGTATCATAGGAAGCAACTAACGTGGGAACCCCTGTAGAATTGTGGATTTGCTTTTGTGTCCTCTATTTGGCGACACAAAAGCGACCGAAATAAATTGCAATATTTGGGATCTTTATCTTTCTTTTTACTTATAACTACCTTTTATTCCCTAGCGCCTTGCCTGGCAACACCTCACTGTTGACTTGAATGTTGAGCGTTCGCCCATGTGAGGAAGGCGATGGGGTTTTCCGGGACATACCAAAGTCCTTAAAATGGTAGCTGTTATTCCCTGCTTAACGTTCAGCATTTAGGGGAATGGCAACAACTGGTTCACCCGTTGTCAGTATAATGTGACTGGGCGGAATGCTGTGCTGGGTGCCTTTGGCATGGTATTTCAGTGAGATAGCACTATAAAGTTGGCATCAGATCCGCGCTATCACAAGAAGGCAAGCACACCAATATACCTTGTCTCCTGCATACACACACGCAAGCTCACATACATTACACACATGGAGGCATGTCCTTAAATGACATAAGCTGTTAATAGGACGTTAAACAAAATTGAACCAAACCAAACCAATTACCTTTCAATGATCTGGTCGCATCACTCCTCAGTACCTAGAGTTGTTTGCACAACGTCCGGAAACGTCGATAATGCCAGTGTTGCCCGGTGTTGCTCTACTTTCCTTTTCTCCTGCTTTTACTTACACGATGAAGGATGGTTTGTGCTTTCGTGCTGGTCTCTCCTTGCTCTTCTCCACCTCGAGAACATCTGTCATTTCCCGAAGAACCTGGTCATACTTCCACCGGTATTGTCTCTGTATCAGCGCTCTCTTGGACTCTGAAAGGATATGACCCATACTGAAACGTTCTTTGTGTAGCTGGCATTTGGTTTCTCAACTAGTTTACCTGACGAAGGTACGCTGGCGACGCTAAAGTATGATGTACCGACCTCATGGCGTCACAGGTCTGTCCATGTAAATATAAAAGAAAGAAACAAAAACTGTCCATGTAAGTTTCCTTTCAGGCAGCTTCCGTCTTGTTCATGCCCCTTGCGAGACCTTTTCCACTGCCCTTGCTTTCAGGGCCCCAATTTCTTCTCCTCTGTCGATTTCCCCCTGTAACGATGACCTTTTCTCCCTGTCGTCTGTTTTGCCCTCCTTTTATACCTAACTTCAACTGTTGCGTCAGTTGTCCTTTCTCCATTACCACGCACCTAGAGTTTTTGCCTCGAACTTCATCCTTGCTCATGAGACTACCTCCTCTGGTGCAGACACAACCCGTTTTGCTCGGACATGCGTTTTGGTGGTCACGGACAGTTCTTCCATATAACCTCGATTCGATGGTTTGGTAGATCTCTGATTCCATCCTGGACCCTCTGGTAACCCGTCATGTCGTCTCGTTGATTTGGTTGATATGGTACATACCGTCACTACTGCTGTCACCAAGTTTTGCTAGGATTCTAGCTTTCCCAACATTAGACTGCAACTGGATTTCGCCAAAATAGCGTCGAACTGTTCAATGTACATGCATACTACTGTTATGCTCCCTCGGTAAGACTTGGCCTCACTGATTAGTTAAGTTAGTTGTTTGGACGAATTTTAATAAACTGTCCCTCTAAAGTTAGTGTTTAACTTGTATGAACTTATAAGTTTACTGCACGTTTTTATGTTGATGTCATATGACTTCTGTAGACCATGTGTGCATGGATGCTGGATAACCAGCGTTGATGCTGAACGACAGACAGGCCAACAAGATTGCTTGATACATAAGTTGATAAAAACTGTTTCATAATTGTTATAAAGTAAACAAAAGTTTTTAGCACCCAATTCGTAACATGCTACTCATTTTTGGTTTTAGAAGGAGGTTCTGTAATGGTGACAAAAGTCACCCTTGTCGCACACCAGTGGAAGATGATGAAGTAGATATCACGGACCAGATTCTCGTTATTGAGTTTAGCGTCCTAATAACAGCACTATCATCCGTGTGTGCAACTTCTTAATATATACGTGTGTACTGAAGGCTGTATGTTGGTGTATTTGTATCCCTGTGATAGCACGAATCTGATGCCGACTATTAGAGTGATACCTCACTGAAATATCAAGCCAAAGGCACCCATCACATCATTCAACCCAGCCACGTTATATTGACAACGGGTTTATGTAAAAACAGTAGTTAAAATTCACAAAGCACGTGGATACCGTTTTTTTGTAAGGGATAATCAATATACAAACAATATACCAAAACAGCTTCATTTGAACTCTTCGGGATGCTTGAGCAAGAATCCCCGACGATACAAGCAGATTTGAATTTTGGTCCGATTTCCTTTGATTTTGAGATATCGCAACTGCAAAATCATCAATATATTTATGATGACTTCGTTTTGTAGTTCTAGTTCACAAGCGCCTGTGCTGGTACAAATGTACTAAGTACAAAGATTACGTCAACGGGACGCTGACCTTACACTTCCTCTTGTCACCATATATGTATACAGGACTAGTGCGACGGAGCTTCGCCAGTTCGCTACTCTCCCTCCTACCTGCTAACAAAGTCCTGTAATATCCCGCCATGCTGAATCCAGGCCGACACCCTGGAATATGTTCTATTTCTGCCGGTAAGTCAATATTTATACACAAACATTTTCAATTATTTTTCTTCAAATAGTTGAGTATCTGTTATTGCAGTAGATTTATTTTATAGAGAAAAACTAGAATAAATATTATTCATTTAAAAGTCTAGATACTTATATTGTGTGATAAAATCCAGACTATTTGTTTTCGCAAATTTTTTTCATGACATGCTAAAAGATGTGTTATTTCAAAGGTTTTTTCTTCAAAATTACATTAGACATTTGTACATTGCTAACAAATAATAAGCAACGTTGGTGATGGATACGGAACTATATCTCCCTCGTGTGGTTTTTATATTGTACCACCAGACCAAGATTCATCCTTGAATATTAGGGAAAACGCTCTTTAATCTCTGCACAGAACGTCAATGAGCATAATCCCTGGAGTTTGGAGGATGACCGCGGGGGCAAGAGCAATCGGAACGCGTTATCACGAGTAAAGACGGTCGTTCGATTGTGATGTCATGTGTTCCAAACTGAACGAGGTAGACAAATCTAGCACTGGGGTCTTAACTGCATTAGAATAAAAGAAATATAATACTGGGTTTAAAACCGAATTCTGTGTAGACGTGACAAAATCTAGCACTAAATGCCGTATAGTGTTACGAGAAACAAACACAAATCAAGCTCTGGTTTTTCGGTTTCTATTGTCAAATGTACAAAAAAAATGTTCATGTTCGTAAGAAATCGCCGTTCAATGTTTTAAATATTTTCAACAGCGGAAATGCGGTCCAATTTGTACATGAGTACATAGGTTTGGTTCTAAAACAATATATATTTAGATTATTATGACAGAACCAGTACAGGCGGTGTAGCAACAGGTCACCCACTCAGCCTTGGTCTGGCCTTATTTAAAAATAAAATGAAACAATGAAAAAGTTTACCGTAAGTGCATAAACAAACCTTTTTCACCGTATTTTGTGGCGTAACGGCAAGCTATGGTGGGGCGATATGACAGACAGTTGCCATGTTGTAAAAACAAATACAATGTCCAAAATGAAACTGTTTAACAGCCCGAGGGCAGTGGAGACATATATTGTGCCATTTATAAACCGGAGAATTCTAGAAAACTGTTGTCATGACACAGTTGGTACAAATTGCAAGGGTTTCCAATGGCCAATGTGTAGAGCCCTGTTTCATCTTAGTGGGGGCCTTAGTGTGGGCGGAAACCGGAGTACCCGGTGAAAACCCACGTGATCGGGCAGGTGACCCCATACCTTTTCACGTCCGATCGGGGAATCGAACCCCGGCCGCCTTGGTGAAAGGCAAGTGCGCTATCCACTACACTAATAGTGTAACAACGTGCTTTTTTGATTTTTGTTGTATGATGTAAATTATTTAAAATATTTAGAGAAAAAAATAATGCTTTCACAAATAAGTCATCGAATGTGGACCCACTTAAAATTGCTCATTTTTTAGTGTCATCGAATGTCACTATGGGGAAGGTACGACCGTCATTTGTGAATTCCAAGCACGCCAGAGTCACGGGACAAAAACGGTAAGTACTCATATCTGGAGTCCCTAGGAATAATAATTTTAAACAAGAGGCCCATGGGCCTTAACGGTCACATGAGTCCTACAATATTTATTTTTGTTGTTGAAATATGTACCAATTTGAGTAAAAAATAGTATAATGTTAACTTAACTTTGTCAGGACCATGAGCTGATCATTCCTAGACCAATTTTAAGTGAGATCGGCCTATTAGAACTTAGTAGCAAAATAGCGGCCATGGCAGCCAAATTGTATTTCTGATTGACCCGAAAAATAACAACACTTTGTCAGGACCATGAGGCGATCATTCCTACCAACTTTCAGTTCAATCGGCCCAGCAGAACTTGACTTTAAGTTTGAAATGTAAAATGTTAACGGACGACGGACGACGGACGACGGACGACGACGGACGAAAACGGATAGCAATAGGTCACTTGAGCTAAAGCTCAGGTGACCTAAAAACACGATTTTTGCTCATACGGCGGAAACTTATTTTCCCGAACATATATGATATAAGCATCGACATTTTTGCCGGTGGGCATAAGGCGGGTTGGGAGTGAAACCATAACTCAGCAGGGATGTGAAGTCAACCAGCCATGTTTTCATTTCAGCAAGGCAACGCCGAGCCAAAAAAAAACCCACTATGCCTGGGAGTTAGTTAATATGTATTTCATTGTTAAAAGCAATAGGATTGGTAACAAGTAAACCTTAGAAAGCATTTTCACTTCTTATATTTATTGAACAAAAACATGATTTTCAACATTATTCTTGGCGGAAGTAGAGACAGACGGATTGGGACGAGAGGGGTAATCTAGTTTGGAACCTATGATGAGTGTAATAAATCTTAATTAACATCATAACGAATTTAAGATTTCCACCACAGTGCCAACAATGTATATGATTATTTTATTGCGACAAAAAGAAGTTTTCTTGGACCAATGTCGTATCTTCAACATCATGTAGTGTATGTCTTTTGTCTTAAATGCAACGCCATAAAGTCATGGCGTCATTTATAATATATGATAGGGTTCGAATTTCCTGAAATCTGATTGGCGAAGTCGTGATCATGTTTTACAGAGTCAATATTTCACTACCGGTATATTGACTTTAAGTTATTATTTCTAAAGACAGAAGATCAATATTCTCTTTATGACGTCACGTCAATATTAATTATAACGTCAAAATGCTCTATGCCAAATACAGTACTTTGCTCAAGAAGTTGTAACATTCCGTAGTCTTTGGTGATAAAATAAGGATTGAAATGCATCTTGTTAACATTTATTATTGTATGCAACAAAATTCAGCCTAAATATATTCCATAATGCATGGTAGTGCACATTCTCGAAATTTATGTAAAAAAATCCGTCACTTGCAATTGAAGACTGCAATGTCAGGGTAAAAAAGAAAAACGTCGTGATTACATAATACCGCAGTTGTCTTTCGGACTTTGACGTATTCATTTATCTATGGTTTTTTCTTTCTTTTGAAGCCGCAGCCTTTACCCGAAGTACGCTGTTGTGGGTGTGGTCTTGTCAACTCTCTGCAATCCTGTGTTGGGTGTCATGGCGGTCTTTGCATATGTGCGAGCCAAAAACGCATATGCGCATGGGCGTTTCGTGACGGCCGGTAGTTACATGAACATTGTTTTTATTCTCGGAATTATCGGGATTTCCATGACTTTACTGGCAGCCGTAGTAATTTATATCCATAGTTCTGAAGAATTCGTCCTTGTCGATGATGAAGTTGAAATAAAAACGACTAATTCAGCAACACCAAAAAACCTTGGTTACCTACACGGCAAACATTTGTTCAGAAAGACTAAAGAAAAGAAATTGAAAGAAGACGCCTTCCCGTTTAAACCTTCTTCCTCAGAACAGGTTAAAGTTATTGGAGTTGTATTTGAAACAAATGCCACTCTTTTCAAAGGACAGGTACGGAATAAAACGGATATGGAAAGCGTCGTCGGTACAATGATGGAAAAGGGTGATGTCATTCCGGCACTGAAGGAAACCAACCGCGAAAAGATCAAGACCGTCAGAGAAATGGACAACAATAGCAGAGTGGTCAAGGATGTGTATGATCTTACTGGTGGCCGGAGAGTAAGGGAAGCTGACAGGGCCAGGTCCAGATGTAACTGTACAAAGAGAAGGAGACAGAGAGTGGACGCTTGCCATCAGCTCCAGCAACTACTCAAGGTATACTCATATACACGTAGCTACGTCGTAACATATTTAATATCCATTTACTCAAGGTCACCATTACAGGTCAAAGTTTAGAGAGAAGTTTCATTAATCCATTACACAATTGTAACAGAATATATTTTCTGTTTTTGAGCAATGATTGATGTCTTTTATAACACGAAAAATTATATGACGAGACGCCAATACAATATGTAAGCCTCTTTGTTCATAGGAATATAATGTACATTGTATATAAGCTTTATTTATATTACAACAATTATGAAACAAGTTGTATCAACTTATATTAATAACTCTTATTGGCCCGGATGTTAGCACGCAAGGTATTGGCTTATTTCTAAAACTACCATGCATTATCCTACTTGAACGTCAGTAAAATTTAATGAAATTTGGGGATCAGGGGATTTTTTTTATCGACATTACCAAATGAGTTCAGTCCACATAGTCCCCTTGTGCGACCACCTTTATTAAAATCGAAATACCACGTGCGGCGTTCTCTCAACTGGCTTATTTACAAATCGTGGCATTAACGGCACAAGGTTCCTGTTTTGTACAATATAACGAACTGTTCTAACCCTCAACGTTACTAACCCCTATCAACCCCTCTTACTGTCTTCATTGATGTACGTAGATGTCACTAAACGAACGATTTAACACTTCAGGGAACATCAAGGCGAATTACTTTAACCCAATCACCGCTATTTGTGAAAATATTTCGATTATCCTGTAAAACATGATTATCATGATTATGAATGAAACACATTTCGATATATAAATATTTGAAGTCGAAAATAATGTCTAGATTTCAGTATAGATGTCCTTTCAAGGGGAAAGGGATGTTCTAAGATGTACAATATATGTGACCTTCAAGGGGACATAATTAGGACTTCGATGGGACGTACTCCGAACAACAGATTTGTAAAGACTGAAAGTTGGTAATAAAAAATATTGTTACTTAAATGAATATACTTCATTTCGAAATTTCAAAATGAATAAAATAAATACAAAAATGGGCAAACATATCCAGGAGCGTTGAATGCGATTGTCCAAACAAATGTATCAACTCACTGGAAATGGATTTTACATGCATACGCCTTATACAAATTTTCGCCATTGTTGCTCTAGCGACGTTTAAAAACATTGGAATTATTAAAAGAATAATGACCGTTATTATGTTCCTTGTTTGTATTTGAACAAAAGCTATTTGCCAAACATTTGGATTTGCGATGAATCCCTTCGCCAAACGACTCAATAACTCGATAAATATCCAGCGAAACGTCAGCGATGAACAGTATCAATAAGATGTAGAAGCCAAGCTCTACAAAAAGACTACAAATAGTAAAGATCCTTTAATAAAAATATTAGTCAATGAATTGAAACACGTTTTAGGTAAACATGTTTTCTGTCGAGACTGATTAATATGGCTGCTTCATTATCCAGACAGGATTTTGTGGAATAGGTTTTCTCCCGTACATCTGTATCCAGGTAACAAAGCCCTCTAAAATTCTAGTCACTTTCTCTGTGACGATCGAAGGTCGCTTCGTTGGTACGGAATACAATACAATACAATACAATAAAAAATACAATACAATACAATACAATACAATATGACACAATACACGTGATGTTTGTTTGATTGTTGTGGGGTTAATGCGCTCGCAACGGCTAAGCTCACATGAATACGGGTACCTAGGGAGTCACCGCTAAAAAGAATGACTCGGGAAGAAACAACACGATGTTACTTTGTTAGGGCTTCGTTCGGACGATACTGTATGTAGTTCTATATTGTTAGCATTAAGTATATCTCACAAAACCGTTTATATATTAATTCTAACAATAACTCAATTCATTTTAATTTACAGGGGAACTCGATAAAAGTGCGGATGAAGATGAAACACCCTCTGTTCGGATGGAAGCCTGTTACTATTAAAATCACGGACCATACCGACTGTTTTGAAATATGAGAAACTGAAATCGAACAGACAGAGCGACGAGAAACTGTTTTGGAATACGTTGAAAAGAGTCCCGCTTCATGACAGAGGTGCCCATAGGAGAACTTCAACATTACAGGAATTATTGTGTGTGTCTTGAGCCGAGATATGCTTTGTATCAAGAACGATCGTTGGACAGTTTTGTAGAGTTCCAATCGGATAAATAGATTTACAGTCGGATAAGACAATATAAACAAAACTTTATAGACAAATATTCTAAAACAAAATATGGCTGCCAAAAAAATATTACCCTGATTTCGATCGGTTAATAAATAATTTCAGTAACCGAGAAGAAGAGTCAACCTCTCAGGTTGATAAAAAAGACATCGACCTCATTTCAAGTCAATTCATATACATGTTTGTGTGGGTATGTACTTTGTTGTAACGTTAGAAGTGAACATTCAAATCTGAAATTCTGTCGGATTACTTAGCAATGATTTTTGTAAGGCGTGTATCTGAAACTTTTCATCAACATTAAAGCTTTAAATACCCAAATCAATATAAATCTGAAGGCGTTGGACAGTGTACATGATATGTTTTCAAACGTTGTAGGTTTATATACTTCTTATATCTATGTCATTATTTCTTATATACGCGTGTATCACATTTTATTGACCATTTTTGTACATTTAGTGGATTTTTTCTAATTTCTCTTCTTCTTAGGTTAATTTCCTCTGATTTCAATTGTCATGATCTTTTCTTTCTCTTTTCTTTGAGTTCAATTATCATGATTTAGCTGAAATGATTTCTCTCACGAAGCATAATTCCTGTTAGCTGCACCAAAGACACATGGTAACAAGCAGATATTATTCTTTGTGCTCGAGCCAACTTTCTTAGTAACTTGTTAAAACCATGTAACACAGTAAAAAGTCAAATGTAAACATTAAAAACACTATTTGGCTTTTGGTCCATCCAATCTTCATCCAAAATCATGGACAAAATGTGATTTTGTTATGAAATGATCAAGGGAACAGGAAATTGGACTTGAGCACAGAAACTTTGGTTGAGCATGAGAACGGTTTCATGAATACAAGCCCTGGATTAACACTCGAACACAGTGACCTCCGATCTTTAAGTTACCTTCGCCCCAACACGCTCAACTTCCCGGTCAGTGGGAGTTCTTTAGGCCAGTCGCGCTGGACACCGCTATCCAAAACTAAATTGGGGAGGGGTTATTGTATGTACGAAAATTATAGTGGACTTCTCAGGGGAGCCTGAAGTTGGTTCCTGGTTCCTAGTTCCGTTTAAGGTAAACGTATCCGTGTTTTGTAATTCTTTCACTGTCTACAAGGCGCGTAGTCATTTGTGAACCAGTACAAGTATCGAACCCACAACCTTCCAGTCAAAAATTTAAACAACCATGGCCTTTATGAAGGAATTGGTCTTATACAGAACTGGGGTCTGGTTCCCAGTTCCATTTATCTTAAACGGAACTAGGGTCTGGTTCCCAGTTCCGTTTATCTTAAACGGAACTAGGGTCTGGTTCCCAGTTCCATTTATCTTAAACGGAACTAGGGTCTGGTTCCCAGTTCCGTTTATCTTAAACGGAACTAGGGTCTGGTTCCCAGTTCCATTTATCTTAAACAGAACTAGGGTCTGGTTCCAAGTTCTGTTCATCTTAAACGGAACTAGGGTCTGGTTCCCAGTTCCATTTATCTTAAACGGAACTAGGGTCTGGTTCCCAGTTCCATTTATCTTAAACAGAACTAGGGTCTGGTTCCAAGTTCTGTTCATCTTAAACGGAACTAGGGTCTGGTTCCAAGTTCTGTTCATCTTAAACGGAACTAGGAACTAACTTCAGGCTCCCACATATCAGGCCTATGACAGAGATCCTAAATAATATACGAGCAGTTCGGTGTAAGATGTGACCTCAATTATGACATATGCTTCAGAATTCAACCTCCAATGGTTGGTAAGCTGTGTGAGGGTTTGACTTTCGTGTGTGTGTGTGTGTGTGTGTGTGTGTGTGAATAAAGGACTAGTTCACTTAAAAAAGGGAAACCTAATTATATAATATTAACGTCACGTAGCACTGTACTTTGGCTAGCTACATTTTAGAAATAAACATTTGCCACCCTTACTTATTTCAGTATAATTGCGGTAGGTAGAATATTTTAGACTCAATGTTAGCTTTGCGACATTATCATTATGGAACCATTCTAAGTGGTAAACTGTATTGTTTTGTTTTATTTCTCCGACCCTTATTTTTGGATTTAGTGGTTTTGGAAATTTGAACTTTTTCGATGCTGGAAAATTATCATAACGCTTTACATCAAATTGTTGAATATTTCGACAAATCAACAGAAAACCCATATTTAATCAAAATAGTCTAGAAATATGTCCATTTTATAAACAAATAATTAAGATGCTAAAGCACAATTAGAACAGGGGAAACACATTTCCTCAATAATGACACTGTTTTATGCATTCTGTTACAACACCTCACGTTTGGCTTTCATGTCGAGCGTTCGCCCAGGTCAGGAAGGCAATGGGTTCTGTCCCCAGGCCGGGACATACCAAAGTCCTTAAAAACGATAGTTGTTAGGGGTCAGTATAATGTAACCGGGCGGAATGCTGTGCTGGGTACCTTCGGCATGGTATTTCAGTGAGATAGCACTATAAAGTTGGCATCAGATGCGCGCTATCACAAGGAGGCAAGCACACTAACATATCATGTCTCCTGCATACACACACGCAAGCACGCATACATGTACACTACACACATGGAGGCACGTCCTTAAATGACCTTAGCTGCTGATAGGACGTTAAACAAAATTAAACCAAATCAACCATCCTGAAACAAATACGCAAAACTCGTGAAATATATTAAAATTTAAAATATTTAAATACAGTTTTTATACACCGTTTCACTATGAAAAGAGGGTCTCTAATTCTGCAATCGAACACAGGGTTCTGATATGTATTCACAGTAATTATAAGAGCGTATGGACCTCTGCTGATATGTAAGGAGTATTGATAGATGGATTAATTATCATGCCCCTGTGCTACCGACTACGTAGCAATAGGCATATCTCGAAAGTTCATTGCTATTCAATCCTGAAGTGTGAATACTGCACATTTATATAAATTTAAACAAAAATATAATTTCCAAATTCTACATTGTGCCTTTCACTATAAATAAATATAGGATGTATCAACATCATATAATGTTAAACGGTGATGCGTCACCGTTACCAAAGTTTCTAGAAACACTCGAATCATCACGCATTGTCAACTTGACTATAGATAAAAACAACTTTTTTATTGAATGTTTTCAAAACAGATTCTGCAACAAATCCAGATTTTTTCCCTGTTTGCTGGATATCATTACGAACTAAAATCTTGCACTGTTTGCTTTCCATTTTCATTATCAGGAAAATATCCGAAAAAAATGGAAAAACAGATGTGCCCGGAAGGTGACAGTGCATGCTATTTTATGGTTCCGGGCTACACGTGTTGTTTTAGTATAGTACTCGTCACCTGGCCTTCAATGCCCCGTCAAAATAACTATCAGTCTCCCTGCTGTTTGCATCCTTATTTTGATATAAAAAGTCTAAACAATATATAAATACACCACACGGTAATCAAAACCAAACGTTAACAGTATGTTTTCTCGAATAATTCAAACATTAAAAGGTTGGCTTTCCCAGTATCATGTGTTTTGTTGATATTTCCAGAAGCTAACAGCCAATTATCAGGCATTTCAGTTCTTCCGAATAAATTGTTTTTCATATTCAGCCCCTGTAGCCTTGAAAGTAGATCCAAGATCCTTTTATTCACAAACTTTGTAACCCAGGAGGATGCCAGCCAAATTAGAAATATAATGGTTTTCCATCTTTCAGTTCTTCTTCAGAAGTTGTGTTTAGTTTTTGACATTTTTGACTCATGTGACCTTGAAAATAGGTCATGGTCATGAATACAGGCCTAGAATTTTTGTTCATCCATGTGACCTTGAAAGTAGGTCAACATCATTTTTGTTTGCAAATTTTGTTGGGACTCCATCCAACCAAGCAACCATTCAAATATCAAGACTCCAGGCCTTTTGGTTCTCTAGAAGAAGTCATTAAAAGGAAATGTTGACTACAGCTGGACAGACGACGGACAATGGACACAATCAGCATTGGAGGGGATTAAGTTACATTTTTATACAGAATTGTCTTTGCCATTATAATGCCTAACAATCAAGTCATTTTTGCTCGAGAAAGAGGGTGGATTATTGGGCTCCACATCAGGGTTCTGAAACCCTTTAGCCAATCATTGCTCATGTTAGAAGTGTCTATTGAAACCGATCAGTATCAAGCAAGGACTCAAAATCAACCAATCATTAACAAAGAAGTACTTATAATGAACGAATCATTAAAGAGGATGTCTTCATAACTATTGAAGTAATACAATTAACCAATCCGTATTGATGGTGTTCCTTCAAGCTTTATCGCAAGAAAAGGTAAAAAAATAAGGTAACTGATCTGTCAAACATCTTGTAATGTTTTATTTTCATTTTACATGTTAAATTAAATCAAACACGTAGACATAGTTATAAATAAATAAATAAATAATAAATGATAAGTAAATAAGATAAAATTGAGACAATGTTTTCATTGCTAGAGATAATTTAATTGATCTTAAAGCTTATCAAAAAACTTCCTTCACTGGAGCAGGAACAAAGGTCTTCCTACAATGGAAGTCTGAAGCTCGGTTGTTGATTTTACACTAATCCCTCAGCTGTGTATTTATCAAGCACAATGAATTATATCCATATTTAATAACAAAACTTTTTTAACTACAAAGCTTAGACAGACGCGTAGCTAGCCCCTTTACCATGTGTAAGCCCGACATGTCACCTTTACTCAGTCTCCCACACAGTTTCATCTTCTGTTTGTGTTTTGTGACTGGTTCCTTATACTTGCTCCTGTTATTTGTTGGGTATTTCGAGAAGCGAGGTTGCCCCCACTATCATCGTCATGCCTACCACACCGTTTCGTCTTCTGGTTTCATAAACATTTTGTGGACATGGAAGAAAAGAAAGTAAAGAAAGTAAAAAAATACAAAGCACCGTGATTTTTTAAAATTCTGTTGTGTTGTAATTGGGCAGGCTCCAGAAGACAGTTTTCGTCATTTATTTAGATTCCAAAGTGTCCTTTCCTACGTTTGGCACGCCGTGAGTGAGTTTCTCAATTTACTCAATCGAGCAGTTTAGTTCCGCCTGGAACTGTGCATTAATGCAATGGACATTTCTAAACTTCATACATTTTTGTACTAACTATTAACAATGTATCATATCTGAGGAATTACATATGTATACTATATATTCAAAACTTAAACTCCACTTTATAGTATCAGCAAGAAAAAAACCTGTCATGAAAACCTAAACTTGTCAAAATCATGTGCAAGCCCGGGCTTATTGGCTTACATGGTAGCTACGCGCCTGATAGATTATTTGAAGTTAACTCATTCACCCCTGAAGACAAATTTGAACTCTTCTAAGTCAAAGGTTTGAATAGATCATTATAAAATTTCAGGGGTGAATAAAATAAATATACAACATTTGATATAGCGCCCTATCTAGCTAACATAAGCCACTCTAAAGCGCTTTACAGTACATAGATATACAATTTAATACAATGAATACAATTAGCATAAACATCAATCAATACAAGGTGCTAACTACTAGTCCTATACCACTGGCTAATATCTCCCTATGTGTGTGCTGGAGATGTATTGTGTTCTGTTTGTAGTGGGACCGTACTTCCAACGGTATCATTTATAGTGCCACCCACTTGAATGCCACAAAAACACAGATACCGCAACATCCACCCCAGACCATTTTATACTCCATCTGGGTTGTTGGAGTTGTGTGGGCAGGAGAAAAACACTTTCTCTGAATATTCCATGCATACGACGACTTCGGGATCAAACCCCGGCCGCCTGCTTGGAGTGTTAACCACTCGACCAATCCGCCCAAATATAACTATTTGACATACTCCAGGATTTTGTGTATTACATACATAAACCTTTCTATCTATTACCAGGTGTTATTTGGATACAATTTATTGTATTATGAAGTAAGCTGAATATAGGCTCTCTGCCTGATGTTCAATCCAGATGTTAATAAACAAAATAAAAATTGAAATTGACAACAGCAGAAGCTGGAACCAAGACTGGGTGGTAACCATGAATGTCTAACATTGAGACAGGGTGGTAACCAAGAATGTCTAACATAGAGACAGGGTGGTAACCAAGAATGTCTAACATATAGACAGGGTGGTAACCAAGAATGTCAAACATTGAGACAGGGTGGTAACCAAGAATGTCTAACATAGAGACAGGGTGGGAACCATGAATGTCCAATATTGGGACAGGGTGGTAACAAAGAATGTCTAACATAGAGACAGGGTGGTAACCAAGAATGTCTAACATAGAGACAGTGTGGTAACCAAGAATGTCTTACATAGAGACAGGGTGGGAACCAAGAATGTCTAACATAGAGACAGGGTGGTAACCATGAATATCTAACATTGAGACAGGGTGGTAACCAAGAATGTCTAACATTGAGACCGGGTGGTAACCAAGAATGTGTAACATTGAGACCGGTTGGTAACCAAGAATGTCTTACATAGAGACAGGCTGGTAACCAAGAATGTCTAACATTGAGACAGGGTGGTAACCAAGAATGTCTAACATTGAGACAGGGTGGTAACCAGGAATGTCTAACATTGGGACCTGGTGGAAACCAAGAATGTCCATTATTGGGACCTGGTGGAAACCAAGAATGTCCATTATTGGGACTTGGTGGGAACTAATAATGTCCAACACTGGGACAGAGTGGGAACCAAAAACGCCCAACACTTGGACTGGGTTGGAACCAAGAACTTCCAATATTGGGACTGGGTTGGAACCAAGAACTTCCAACATTGGGACTGGGTGGGAACTAAGAAAGTCCAAAACTGGGACTGGGTGGGGACGAAGAACGTTCACCATTGGGGACTGGGTTGGGACCAAGAACGTTCACCATTGGGGACTTGGTGGGAACCTATAATGTCCAACATTGGGACTGGGTGAGGACCAAGAATGTCCAACATTGGGACTGGGTGGGAACCAAGAACGTTCACCATTGGGACTGGGTAGGGACCAAGAACGTTCACCATTGGGGACTTGGTGGGAACCTTATAATGTCCAACATTGGGACTGGGTGGGGACCAAGAATGTCAAAAATTGGGACTGGGTGGGGACCAAGAACGTTCACCATTGGGACTGGGTAGGGACCAAGAACGTTCACCATTGGGGACTTGGTGGGAAACTAGAATGTCCATTATTGGGACTGGTAGGGGACCAAGAATGTCCAACATTGGGACTGGGTGGGGACCAAGAACGTTCACCATTGGGGACTTGGTGGGAACTTAGAATGTCCATTATTGGGACAGGGTGGGAACTAAGAATGTCCAACATTGGGACTGGGTGGGGACAAAGAACATTCACCATTTGGACTGGGTGGGGACCAAGAATGTCCAACATTGGGACAGGGTGGGGACCAAGAACGTTCACCATTTGGACTGGGTGGGGACCAAGAACGTTCAACATTGGGGACTTGGTGGGAACCTATAATGTCCAACATTGGGACTGGTTGAGGACCAAGAATGTCCAACTTTGGGACTGGGTGGGAACCAAGAACGTTCACCATTGGGACTGGGGAGGGACCAAGAACGTTCACCATTGGGGACTTGATGGGAACCAAGAATGTCCAAAATTGGGACTGGGTGGGGACCAAGAACGTTCACCATTGGGGACTTGGTGGGAACCTATAATGTCCAACATTGGGACTGGTTGAGGACCAAGAATGTCCAACATTGGGACTGGGTGGGAACCAAGAACGTTCACCATTGGGACTGGGTAGGGACCAAGAACGTTCACCATTGGGGACTTGATGGGAACCAAGAATGTCCAAAATTGGGACTGGGTGGGGACCAAGAACGTTCACCATTTGGACTGGGTGGGGACCAAGAACGTTCACCATTGGGGACTTGGTGGGAACCTAGAATGTCCATTATTGGGACAGGAAGAAAAAGAACTACCATGGTACCAATGCTTGGAGTGGGAACCAAGAATGTCCAACATTGGGACAGGGTGGGGACCAAGAATGTTCACCATTTGGACTGGGTGGGGACCAAGAACGTTCACCATTTGGACTGGGTGGGGACCAAGAACGTTCACCATTGGGACTGGGTTGGGACCAAGAACGTTCACCATTTGGACTGGGTGGGGACACAGAACGTTCACCATTGGGGACTTGATGGGAACCAAGAATGTCCAACATTGGGACTGGGTGGGGACCAAGAACGTTCACCATTTGGACTGGGTGGGGACCAAGAACGTTCACCATTGGGGACTTG